TCTCTACTCTGGGTAGTTATGTAGTTATTTCTCCCACACTGGACTCAGTCCCATACAGGCAATTTAGGTAATTCATTGAAAGCAATTCACAGCATTTACTCGGAACATCGATGGTCTGCACAGAATTCTAGACTGTTAGGATTTGGGCTCCTAGGAAGATCATGGAGGGCCAGGCTTTCTCAGGTGTGCTCAGAGGTGTCGGTCAGAAGGAGGAGGGGCTGAGTGAGCCAGCAGGTCCAGAGCTCCTTCCCAGTCCCGCAGCAAGAGCGCCCCTGCTGGTACCCGCTTTGGGTACAGGCTTCTGTAAAGGATGTCTGCAATTCTAAAAGCAATCCTGAAAACCAGTAATCAAACCCACCCACTCATTCTTGTCTCAGAAGAGGAAACGGGCCCACAGGGATCCTTCTCTTATTTAAGGTCCACGTGAGTTAGTGAATTGACGCCAGAATGAGAATTAGCACATGGGTCTCCCCACTTCTGTATGCCCCATTTATTGCGCCAGGCTGGGATAACTCTGGAACCCATCCCTGGGCTGCTTTTCCCATTGCCTGGCCACTGTCTTGTGAAAAAGGCCTTACCTAAAGGATCTATCTCGAGAAAGGGTGGGGAATGTCCGGCCCAAGGGCTGTATATTTGCTAAAGCGTTAGGGTGAATTACTTAAACATTTGACCAAATATAGCAGCCTAATTTTTAAGTTGATAATTTTGTATGGCCCTTAAATGATGTTATAAGTATCCAAATGGCCCTTAGCAGTAAAAAGGTTCCCCACCCCTGATCTAGAGGAACAAAAAAACATCCCAGAAAAGCCATAGCAACATTGCTGAAGTCACCCTTTGTTTTACGATGCCAGGCACCTTCCGGGGTTGTACAGTGCACAGCCTGAGAGACTGTAGGGAGCAGCCCTGTTTTTACTTTACGTGAGTGATATCCTAACTGGAATTGGGCTACACGGTTTTATTTCAGCGTTGTGCAAGGGAAAAGCACAGGCTTTTGAGTTAGCAGATCTGGGTTTAAATCCAAGCTTGCAAGTTACATGACATTACTAATCATCAGCTTTTTTTTTTTTTCATCTAAAAATAAAGCTGATAATACCTAGCTCAAGGATTGTCGTGAGAAATCAAATTTAATAGTCTGTGCACAACCCCTATGGAAAGTGTATCAGGGCCTTGATAAATGTTCCCTTTCCTACAACTTAACTCTCTGTTGCTCTCATACACATACAAGGTTTGAGTCCAAATAAAAGCCAGGCATTTCTGAAGTGTCCCCTTAACTCGGGAACTTCTGGATTTTGTCACAAGCTTAACATTCGCCAAATGAAATGTGCGGCATCTGTAGACCACGGGTCTGTCTTAATCTTTGGCAGTGCCGTTGTAAAACTGAGCCTTTCCTGGGGGAATAGGGCTGTGGGTTTCTAAGAAGAAAATTCTGTGCGAGAAAACGGGAAAGACTGAAAAAATGAAGTCCTGTTTCTTTGAGGCTGGAAGCCCCTGGGATGTCGTGGGGGTTGGAGGCTGCCCGCAGTCAGACCCTGGCAGCGAAGTCAGAGCCCCTCATTGTACCAGCGACTTGGGTGTGCTTGGGGCTCTTTCAAGCCCTTCTTTATTTGCCATTCAGGCAGGAACCATAGACCCAGACGCTTGTTTTCAAAATCTAGGAAAACAGATGTTTTTGCTTATTTTTCTCACTCATGGGCCAAAATGCTCACTGGAGTTTTCCTTGGGTTCTGAACTTGCCTTTCTTCTTTTTCTTTTTACTTTTAAGACAAATCTTGGGAAAGGGTCATTGTAAAATGCAGGGGAAGGATGGGCATCTTACACTGGGAAAGCTTTGTTTTAGACCCTAATAAAAATGTGTCAGCTTCTGAAGGCAGGGAGGCCTAGAAGACAAGAGAGAACGGGACAGACTACTCGAGCTCTGGAAGGATCTACCTGGCATCGTCCACATGCCTGCGACGCCCGGTGCCTCCCTGGCAGATTGTGTAAGGAAGCCAGCACTGCCTTCTCCTCTGAGGAAACCGTCTGCATTGTATCTAACTGAGCGAGACCGTGTGCCGGTGGAAGGGCTGCCTTGATTAAACGTATGCTGGGTAGCACGTGAGGCCAGGGCCACGCACAGTCCCTGAACTGTATAGCCAGCTCAGACATTTTAGATACTGTATTCGTTTTCTATTGTTGCTGTAACACATCACCACAAATGTAGTGGCTTAAACCAACACATATTTATTACCTTACCATCTGTAGGTCAGAGGTCTGACACGGTCTCGCTAGGCTGAAATCTAGGCATCAGCAGGGTTGTGTTCCTTTCTGGAGGCTCCGTGGGAGAATTCCTTTTCTTGTCCAGCTCCTAGAGGCTGCCCGCATTCCTTGGCTGGTGCTCCTCTTCCTCCAGCCTCAAAGCCGGCAATAGCAGGTTGAGTCCTTCTTACCTGCATCCCTCAATCTCCTCCTGTTTCCCTCTTCCACTTTCAGGGAACCTTGTGGCTACACCAGGCCTCCTAGTAACCCAGGATAATTGCCCTCACTTACGATCAGCTGATTAGCTCCTGAACTCCATGGCAACCTTCATTCCCCTTTGCCATGTAAGGTAGCATATTTTCAGGTGCCAAGAATTGGAGCGTAAACATCTTGGGGGTGGGGAGAGATCATTGCCTATTGTAGGAACACAGGTCATTTCTACATTAAATGCAATACATATTAGGACTCTTTTGGATGCAAGAAGCAGGATCTAACTCAAGCTGATTTTTAAAAAAAAGGGGGGGAGGTTCTGGCTTATGCACTTGGGAGTAACATGTGACTGGCGATTGGCGATTGGCTTCAGGCGCAGCTGGATCCCCATGTCCATCAGAGTCATCAAGGCGTTCTGTTTCTTGGCTTTCTTGGCTTTCTTTTCAAGCCCAGGTTATCTGTGTGGTGGCTAAGACAGAAAAAAAGGTGGGGGGGAGGTTCTGGCTCATGCACTTGGGAGTAACATGTGACTGGTGATTGGAGATTGGCTTCAGGCACAGCTGGATCCCCATGTCCATCAGAGTCATCAAGGCATTCTGTTTCTTGGCTTTCTTTGCGGTGGTTTGATTTTCAAGCCCAGGTTATCTGTGTGGTGGCTAAGACAGTTCCCAGGCAACTCGGATGCCGTTACCAAAAGAAAGAGGAAAGAGCTGAACAGGAAAAACCATTGGTGTCCACTCCACCATCTTACTGCTGTCCATTTCACCATCTTATTGCTGGATTTCAGAATCATGCCATAGATATATTATTCCAGTTAAGAGTACATTTAGCTTCAAGCAACAAAACACTAAACCTTGAAAGAGGACAGAAGAGTACAGAGCCAGAAAGTTGTAAATTAAATCAGGTAGTATATAAAGAGGAATTGCATGGTGGTTAAGAGTATGGGTTTTGGAACTAGTCTGCTTGGGTTTATGTCCAATCTGTTGGTTGTGTTTACTTGAAATCTCTGGGCCTCAGTTTTCTCATCTGTAAAATGGGGTTAATCATAGTACCCACATCATGAGCTTGTTAAATAAAGTCCTTAGAATAGTACCTTGACATAAACATTCAATAAATAGTAGCTTTAATAACTATTATTCTAATTATTGTTATTGTATTACTATTGTTATCACAAGTAAACTTCCTGAGGATGGCTTAGGAACTTGTAAAGCAGTTAGGAACCAAGTCAGATACTTACTTGGTTTCTCTTTTTCTCACTGGGGCTACACAGTCTCTTATCTCTGGAACTTTCTCAAACCTCCTCAGGGAACTGAGATTCTCACCTGTTACGTGGACTCTCACATGGCTTTTAGTTGCCTTGACTACGCTTGTCCACCACCAAATAAATGGTGGGTCAGCGTTTCTGAGTTCAGAGTCTTGAGAGAATCTGATTGGTCTGGGCCGAGACTGGCTTTGAATAAGAATGCACCTTGTATTATTAGCTGTGACTGCCCAGGTGACTTTGTATACAGGGTTTACCTCTTTCAGTAGGCATGGAAGAGGCAGCTTAAGTTGAAGGAGAAAAGGCTAAACCAGAAAATTGGCCAACTTGTCTTTTATATGTACACTGTAGCAAATTGGAATTTTCCTACAGAACAAAAGAATCCGTTTCAAAAACTAATGGTTATAGCTAGATGTTTGGGAATAGGACAGCATTGGGAACTGCTTTGTTCTGATGTCATTTAGCCTGTGGTATTTGTAGAGAAAAATTGGTCATTCTCCTGTTATGATAAATGGTAGAGACATTTTCAGCTTCAGTTAGAAATGCTCATTGGATGGATAAAAATATACCCCCCCCCCATAGCATTGATCCCAAAACCTCATTTCTAGAGCACAAGTTCCTGAGGGGAGGGGGGGGGACTGCTCATACTCACTGTCAGGAGAGTAGATTCCAGAGTGACCAGGGATGTCCCCAAAAACCTTCCCTTTGGTATCAGGAAGAAAATTCCACATTGGCCTTTTGTTCACTGCGTCCCTTCTCACCTCTCAGAGCCCCCATGTTTTTCCCAGCATTCTCAGTCCAAGGTGTTCCCCACATACAGCAGTTTCTGCCTTCAGAGTACTTGTCCTTCTCTCCAAGGACTTCAGTGAGCATCTTTCTGGGGACGTAGTTCCACAGTGATGGGGAAAAGAGGTACTGACGGATGGAATTTCTTAGCTCTGAGGCATTACAGGAAGGGTGGAAATGCTTCGGATCTGGGCAGAGCATCTTAGGAAGCTCTGAGGTTTGGGGGGAGACAAAGCATTGTTAAGATTTTGATAGAAGTCTGCTGGGAAAGTCTCCACTGCAAAGGCGAGTGTGCCCGTTTCTAGTTGAACAATTCGCAGGCTCCACACTGGCTCTCAGATGGATTGGTTTTGAAGCAGACAACAAAAAAGCATCCCGCTGCCAGGGCCAACCATCAAAAAGAGAAAAGAGAGCCATGCAAACCGTGGGGGAATGTTCGAGAGAGAAATATTGCAGGGCAGAAACGAGGCTCTACTGGCCTGATACCATGTGCATTATCTCCCCAAAGGACCCCGTGGTTTAATGGATGGGGCTTTAACCTACCCAGAGGTCAGTCTCTGCTGGACAAATGGAACCTCATCCCCGAAGGCATCGACATTCTCATGACACACGGACCTCCTCTAGGTAAGTGAAGGGATGGTTTTCCTTTTGTCGTAGGAGACACCTTTCCCCTCCAAGCATAATGAATAAATGTTTCAGGGCCATAATAATGTTTCTTAAAAAAAAAATGTGAATACAAAAAGAAAAGTGTGGATGTCTTTAAAGAAACCCAGTATGATAATTAAACTCAGCAGTTCTGCTGGGCTTACAGGTGTTCTTGAAATTAAATTTTTTGAATTAGTCAAGTCAGGGAGAATCAAATGAGTATGGAGCGCCACAGTCTTTTGAGCTTGATAATTTATTTTAAGAACTGTATTCACTTTGGAGTAAGGGGTTGGGGAATGGAAGGAAGACAGGGACTTTCCAATCACAGGGCTTTTGCATGGTAGTGAAATGAAGGAAACTTTTGTTTAAAGGAGCTCTTTTTTTTTCCATATCATAGTATAACCTGGGAAATGTTTAAAGTTTGCCCTTGCGCTGATTATGTGAGAAAAGGATCCTTTCATTGTTTCTTTTAGCTAAGATGTTAAATAAGGACTTACGTTGAATTTTACTTAAGGATACTCATCCTAGATGGAGCCTGCATCCAGGTGTAGATTGCCAGGGTGCTTCCAGACCACCTTTAGTTACCCAGATTATAGGTCAAAAGATGATCTTTTGACTTATGTAATAATCCTCTAGTTTTTCATGAGCTTATGAGTGATTTGGCTTAGCCACACAGATTTTCCAAACATGACTACCACCTTGACTCCACCCCCCACCCCAACCCCACCCCCATCTACTCAGGATCTTCCCTTGTCACACTAAGCTGTGCTCCGGAAATTCAGGTGCTTCCCTTTTAGTAGGATAATTTTCTTTCTAAGTTGTGGTAAAAAAAACCCAACCAACTAAACAAACAAACACATACCCTCTTAACAAATGTGTAGGTGTACTAGAAAAGTTTTCTCGATCACATTGATTTGGAAAGAGGAGGATGGGGAACACTTACTACAGAAATAAGTGATTTTACCAACTTTTTCCCTGTGGTTTGGGGTTGTTACCCATGTCACTTTCTTCCTCTATGAGCCCCCAAAATAAAAGTCTAAGAGTCATCCCCTAATAGAAATTTAATCTTTGTGGATATTTTCACCTCCGAGCTGCCGAGTGCTGCTTTCCCACCATTACAGTGTTCTGTGTGTCACAAAGACACAGCGGAAGGGCGAACCAGGCCATGAGCTGGTGGCACATTTTAATGCTGGAAAAGCAAGAGAAGGGCCATTACAGTGTTCTGTGTGTCACAAAGACACAAAGACACAAGACACGGCGGAAGGGCGAACCAGGCCATGAGCTGGTGGCACGGCGGAAGGGTAAACCAGGCCATGAACTGGTGGCACATTTTAATGCTGGAAAAGCAAGAGAAGGGCGCCAGGTCTGTTGCAGATGAGAGTCTGTAGATTTGTATACTTCTGACGTTTTCAATGCTTCAGAACCACCACTCCCACGCTTTTTCCCTCCTCCGTATTACCCCATCCCATGGTTTAAAAGATTTTACTTATGCACAATCTTTATCAAGTCATAATCAATTCATTTTCATATTTTGCAACCGTAGAGACTAACTACAGCATTAAGTCGCTAGTGAAATATTCTGAGTTACCCAGTGAGATCCTCCAGCGATGGCATCCCAGCCAACTTGGTGCTTTCCCCAAGCAGCCTGGTTGGGTGCAGGCATGATTCCCCATTGGCTGTTTACTGTGAGGGACTGGGGCATCCTCGGCATAGAAACATTTACATGCCTGAAGTATTCTTCGGAATATAACTGTGGACAGATGGAGTGATCCACAGACTTCATCAAGTCATTAATTTTGGTACAAAAGTAAGTGGTAATAACAGTGAGTCTGAATTCTAGCCTCCTAAGAATTAAGATGTCCTTAAAAGGGAGGCTACCATCTCTCTCTTTATAGTAAAAATGAAGTGTCCAGAGAGTGGCTGTGCGTAGAGTTGAGTAAGCTCTGGAGTTCCAAAATAAAAGTACAGTGGGGCCTTGACTTACGAGTTTAATTCGTTCCGAGACCGAGCTCGTTAACTCAAATTACTCTGTCAACTCAATGCAAAAAAATCGGCTAGAGACAGCTGGTATCTCAAAAAACTCTTTAGTTGGGACACTGGTAAGTCAAGGCCCCACTGTATAGTGATTGGGATTCTTGTGCAAATGCTGGATAGGGAGGTGGGAGTGGGGGTTGAGGGTTGACCTTGAAATTTCCCCTCCTGGGAAGGGAAGCCACCACAACATAGGACTTTACTATTATGTTGTGAGCAAGATGTTTTCTCTGGATATTGTATATGAAATGAGATATTTACCCCCTTCAAGAAAAACACATCCACAAAGGAATAGGGAATATGCCAATTGCTGTGAACTAAGGACTTTTCCCTCTAATTAACAAAATTTAAAACCCGTGGTTGGATTTTTATGGGGCCCCCACTTTTATCTGATGTTCTTCCCAGACTCTCTGGCTATTGCCCACACTCCAAGGAACATGTCTTTACAGAGATGCATTTACCCCCTTCAAGAAAAACACATCCACGAAGGAATAGGGAATATGCCAATTGCTGTGAACTAAGGACTTTTTCCTCTAATTAACAAAATTTAAAACCCGTGGTTGGATTTTTATGGGGCCCCCACTTTTATCTGATGTTCTTCCCAGACTCTCTGGCTATTGCCCACACTCCAAGGAACATGTCTTTACAGAGATGCTAAATCTTCATTTCCCCAGTCTCGCCAAAGTGGGATAAACTTGTCTGTCCCTTTGTGCTGGATCATTTCTAAATAATAGAAATCACCTAATGGAGGTGTGGAATGGATTCCCACTGATTATGATTTAGCCTTTCATCCCACCTGCCTTCTTGATGCCCCCTCCTGTTAAGGCATGTGGATCATAATCATTCAAATAGCTGACTTTTGCTATAATTGATGTCAGTTTTTATGGATTTTCTGCATTAAGTGTAGAACTAAGTGGCTTTTACATAAAGATAGTCAATTAGCCCTGGCTCCCTGCATGCCACCACAAGGTCACCATTGTTGCCTATCATTAGAGAGGAGGCTGGAGGAGGAACTTGGCGTTCCCAAGCTTTGGTCATCAGGAACCTCGAAGGGTTAAGAGTTGATGTATCTAAAGAGAGCTAGGTATCTTGTGGCCAGTTTGCCCGCAGTGCCTCACACATTGTCTCCTCTGAATTACCTTGGAAGTAAACTGCTAACGTATAATAAAAAAGGAAAAGTACTGAATTGGGAGAGAAAGAGATATTATGGGGCTGCCAGGAATAAGTGTCATTGAGCTCATGAAGAAGATTTGAAACCCATGGCTGAATAAATCAAATCCCTCACAGGAAAAAAAAAAAAAAGTTAATTAGCAGGAAGGAAAAAAAAAGGAAACCAAAAAAAAAAAATTTTTTTTTTCAAGAACCTAAAGAAGACAAAGTGACGAGTGAAAAGTTCCTTAAAAGCCATTGTGAGCTTTAATGGGGAGGCTAGGATTACAGATAATGTAATAAACCTTCTGTGAGTTATGGCTTCCTGAAAGTCTAAATGAAGCCTTACCTGAAGAAAGAAAATTAAGAGTATTGATTGCATTTTGCCCTTAGGTTTTCGAGACTGGGTTCCAAAGGAGCTTCAGAGAGTGGGCTGCGTGGAGCTCTTAAACACAGTGCAGAGGCGAGTTCGACCCAAGCTCCACGTGTTTGGTGGAATTCACGAAGGTAAGACCAGAAGAAAGGAGTTCATGGCATATTGTGTCATTACCCATGATCTCCTTCCACAGTGGAGACCTTGGCTGTCCTGGGAGTAACTGGAGCAGTGGTTTTCAAACTCTTTCTACCAGTGGAACCCTCTCATCACATAAAATGTTAGGAGGAACACCTGCACATAAGCTGATAAATATTTTATATGGAGCTGCTCTATTTTAAACAGAGTAGAGAGAAGGAACCAGGTCTGGCCCACCTTATAGAAAACCCAGACTTCCCCTAAACAACTCCTGGAGTTTTGGGGCTCTGATGATGAATTTTTGATAACCACTGCAGTAGAACAGCCGTGAAGTAATAAAAGACAGCCTTTCTCTTCAAGGTTGTTAGACTAAATAACTCCCATGGCCTCTTCCTACTTTTAAATACTGTGTTTCATAGCAACTCAGGAAAACAAGACAGTCTTCAAAAACTAACCAGCATGACTCAGTGGTTGAGCATGGACCTATGAACCAGGAGGTCATGGTTCAATTCCTGGTCAAGGCATATGCCTGGGTTGTGGGCTCGATCCCCTGTCGGGGGCATGCAAGAGGCAGCCAATCAATGATTCTCTCTCATCACTGATGTTTCTATTTCTCACCCTCTCCCTTCCTCTCTGAAATACACACACACACTAACTTTGGACATGCAGAGAGAGCTGTATAACAGAAGTGGCAGGAACCAGTACATTTGCAAATAGACATTTTCTTGCTAACCTCAGAAAACCATTTCAGACTTCTCAGAAATCGTTAGCACTATTAGCTCCGGCTGAGGTTAAACAGAATAATTAAATCTCCCCTAAATGGGAACTGGTCCAGTTGCCGTTTTCTGCCTTTCCGAGTAAGCTAGAGTCACGTTCACAGAACCTGAAAGTCTTCCAAGGACCTTCAGAGTTCTAGGTTTTGTCTGTCCTCCATTTTGCAAACCAGTGGGAATTGAGCCCTCTTTCGTGGGCCTTCAATTTTCTGGCCCTGCTGGTCTCTCCCAGTTACACACGTCTGTGTGCAGTGGGTATGTGTACTTAGGCAACCACCATATTCTCTCCATCTCCTGTGTATAGCTGTTCTCTAAAGTTATTCAGAAATCTGCATTTGAGGTGTTTAGGTCTGTGTACCTGATGAAGCAAAAAATAAAAAACAACACAAAAAAACCCCACCCACAAACATGTTTGCTTTTCAAAGCCCACAAATCCAGTGGCTTCCTGGTTTAGGCAGGTAATACAGAGCATATTGGAAATCATCCTACTGAGGCCAGAAACAGTAAGCGAGCTCCAAGGATAGGCCCTAACTGAGTGGATGGAAAGCAGGGGTGCAGCTCCCCAAGGGTGGGTGTCACCCTGCGCTGACCGAGCTGTGTTCCCTGAAAAGGAGCACACCTCTCTAAGGCTTGATGCATGATATGGGGGCGGGGGAATGGGAGCTCATGTCTAAACAGCATTTCTAGGGGCAATGATCAGGTTGGAATTCCTGCAGCATGCCTAATGGGTTTGCATTTCATCTTTTTTTTTTAATCATTTATTAGCTTTAAACTAGCCAGACAATTGAGGAATTCCACTGAAGTCCCAAAATAATAACCTTACTTAAAAAGGAAGAGATCATATTCAAATAAACTTGTCTCGATTTTATTCGCTTAAGACAGCTGAAGAGGGCAGAGAGAGGGCAAATACCAGCCTCCTGATGGAGAGAGATAACAAGACTTTCTGACCCCAGAACTAAACAGTGCACAGTTTAAATGCCTCTTTTCTTTTCTTAAGAGAGTTTTCCATTGACCCTCATTAAGCTCTCCACAGGCTTACTTGGAGAAACTGTAGCAATTTGGAAGGGGGAGAAAAAAAACCCTTTTCAGTTATTTCTGTAAGTCCTGGTCATTTTATTGTAGCAATTTGGAAGGGGGAGAGAAAAAAACACCCTTTTCAGTTATTTCTGTAAGTCCTGGTCATTTTATTTTCTCATAGGCATATTTTTTCGTGCTGTGGAGCCTGATACCAACATAGAGTTACAAACTTCATTGCAGAGGCTCTAAGCCAGTGGTTCTCAACCTTGGCTGCACATTAGAATCACCTGGGAATCTTTTGAAAATCGTGATTTCTGGGCCTCATCCTCCGGAAATTCTGTTTCTTTGTTACTAATGTTGTGGCCCCACCCCATAACAAAGAAACAGAATTTCCAGAGGATGAGGCCCAGAAATCAGGATTTTAAAAAGATTCCCAGGTGATTCTAATGTGCAGCCAAGATTGAGAACCACTGCTCTAAGCAAACAAGGTATCCAGGGAAATGGGCAAATTGGCAAACATGCTGAAACTTTCAACGTGTCAAACATTATAAAAGGATTTGTACCTACCAAAGACCCAGAGAAAATGCCTTAGCTTTCTTCCAGTAGGTCACAGGGGATCTATACTGCATATGGGAAGTGTTTTAGCTTAAGCCGGTGTCCAGGTGAGCTTAGGAAGCAGTGTCCTATGTGATGTTTCTCCAAGTCACTTGGACCTTTGATTACTTGACTCTTTTGAATGAAATGGAATTCAGACCAAAGCCACACACTTCAAGTAAGATATGATCACTTCCAGTTTTCTTCCATGGAGGCAAGTGTAGATATTCTTTCATAGCCTCCTCTCCCAACACGCCCTCCTTCTTCATTCGTCTGGAAGCCTGGCGGGGTGTGGGTGTGGGTGTCCCTGAGTTTATGTTACTCATTCTGTCCCCTAGAACTCAGCAGTTATTTAGCATAGGGCTTTGAAATGAAAATCCTATTTTAAAAAGAGGGGGGGAAATTTTTATATTCTCCCTAGTAAAGGCATTTTACAGCCTTTTCCCTGACAGATCTAGTATTTAAATAAGGAAAAATGAATCACTTTTCTTTGAAGTAGAGAATTCTCCTTTTAAAGAAAGTAGAATAAAATCTGGAGGCCGCTTCTGAAAGCAGTTATGTCTGAGGAGGCTCCAGTGAATTTCATCTCACTTCCCACTGGCAGAGATTTGTTTTGTTTTGTTTTCCTTGCCTGATGGCCCTGCATTGAGTCACTATTATTTGTGTATATGGCAGTAAGCGTGACACTGTCTCCCCACAGGTTATGGCATCATGACCGACGGTTACACAACCTACATCAATGCCTCAACGTGTACAGTCAGCTTTCAACCGACCAACCCTCCAATTATATTTGACCTTCCAAACCCACAGAATTCCTGAAGCTCTGAATGCCCAACTGGAATGTGAGGGAAGGTCTATAAACTGCCATTTTTTCTAATTATAAATTTACATTCTCTGACTTGTTTATTTCCAAATCCTGTGAGTTCTTTTTGTAAATTGCTGGAACAACAACAACAAAAAATGATGCTAAAGGTTGTGCTTCTTCTTTATTATTATTATTATTATTTTTAAATGGGGTATCCATTTGAAATCAGAGGAGCATTGTGAATTTGTAAAATGACTTCTGTTTTCTCAAAGGCCACGCCATTGTAAATTGTTAGTGTTCGCCAAAGGACAGCCAAGCTTTCTTTTTAAAAGGTGATAAAAGTCTTATTTTAATATGCTTTAAGCTGGAAGAAAAAAAGAAAACAGGTAGGCAGTGTTTTAAAAACCAACCAGATTTGCACAACTGTTTAAGAGTATTGTTTGAACTGTTTTACTTTTTTTGATGTTTTGTTATTATTGTTTTCTTGGTCATGCTTCTTTTCTGCAGATGGGGCCCAGATTTATGGGAATCTTTTCAACAAAAGTCGGCGTGGAAATAGACTTCCCCTCACACTCTCACTCTAAAGAAAGTTGTGTCAAGGGAAGAAAACAGCCCACGTCTTAAAGGATGGCTTAGCTAGTGAGATCCATACTGTGGTTATGCAAGGTCTCCTTGTTTGTTGCTTTTAAATTATTTTAGCTTTAAAAAATATGGAAATGGAATCTGTCAAGAGCAGGTATTTCATGCAGTACAAAAAAAAAGAGTGTGCAAGACTCCTTTTTAATATGGGTTTATATATATAAGTATTTTTTGTGTATTATGACTAAGTTAGGAGTTTACTATTGCCAAGGATGGTAGAGCTGCAAGGGATGCTGTATAGCAGGGCATCCGGAGGCTGAGGAGCTCACACACTTTCTCAGAACTCAAGGTCTTAAAGAGCTTGAGTCAAATCTAGGTACAGTTACAGGCGTGTATAGACTTAAATGGATGCAATGGAAGCTAACGAAAATAAGGCTTAGTTGTCCTTTATATTTAAATACCCTGAATTGTCTTCTTACTTCCTCTCCCTCCCCCCATTTTGCACTGTGTGTCGATGCAATCTTCGCTAGCACAAAATATTGTCGCTAATAGTCATTTCTGTTTTCCCATTGTAAATGCTGTTGAGCTTTATTCTATTTTATGTTACCTTGTTAATGAAATTTAGAAAAGCAGCTGTTTCTTTAAATTTATTGTGATATTCTATATCTAGCGGCCTTTATATGCAAATAAAATTGCAAGATTTTTAAAACGGTGCTGCTTGGAGGGTTGGCTGGTGGGAGGATGGTGATTGAGCCCTGTGGAAGGGGGGAAGGGGTTATTCATATGCAACATCAGTGCTCCCTTTTAAAAGAATTAGAATCGGTGACATTTTTTTCTAATTTTCAATAAGTTTTTATTACCCACCATTCACGGGCTGGCAGGTGGATCGATAAGGCACTCAGTGTACTCTCTCCTTCCATCACGCTGTCATCTATCTTGCCATAGGTTTCAGAGGATGAAGATTTCTCTTTAGCCATTGTCATTTCTGTGGGAACAGAGTGGCCATGCAGTGAAGTCTGGAGCTTCCACTGTGCACGGGAGTGGTCGTGAGAAAGCAAACCAGGGGGTAATAGAGTAACCGCTGCACATTTCCATTTGTCCCCAGGAGCAGTGGTCATCTCCCCCTCACTGTTTTTTTAATGATGTGTGCCACTAAGATGCTGCAGCAGCCAGGAGGCGGCAGGCCTTGGGGTAGGGAAAACAGTGTTACCTCTTTTTTTATTTTCTCTGAAGAGCCATTGAAGAGGAGCAACATGTCTTCGAATCTCCAGTAGATCCCCAAAGTCTACGTTCCGGTGCCTGTGGAGCTGCATTCATCCACACCTCCCGTCCTTCCGATCTCCAGTAGATCCCCAAAGTCCCTGTGGAGCTGCATTCATCCACACCTCCCGTCCTTCCCACCCACTGGCGATTCTTTGGGGTAATTCCAGAAAGCGATTCTTGATTTCAATACCAGCAGAATAGAAAGAATGTTCTAGGCCAGAAGTCCAGCTCAGACTCACATAGAGTCATCTTGGGCCATCATAGTTTCTCAGTTCCACCGAGAGCCTGCGGTGGACGCTGTCTGAGCCAGCAGAGCAGACACCCCAGCTTCCCACCCGGAGGTGGCTCACAACCACAGTAAGCAGCTAAGACGTTCTGTGAGCAGTGAACCCTCCTCTGACCTGCTCCATCAGCAGAAGAGGGTGTGACTTCAGGCCCTTTCTAGGGAGCTGGAGTGAGAGGTGGACTGAGTGGATATTTCATCCAGTCACTGTACCAAGGAGCTAGGCTCAGACTTCTGGAAAAGCAGGCGTTCCAGAAACAGGGCGCTGATCATGATGACAGGTGTGCGTGCACAGCCCTTGAAAGCACGTCGGGACACAAACTAATTAAGCTTAGCACTTACTAAAATTGCTTTTCACTGTGTGGGGGCAGGAAGCAGCCAGTCTGCAGAATCAGGCTCAGGGACAGAGCTTCCTTCAGCCGCTCCAGGTTCACCACTTCCTAGGCACGATCTGCCTCCAGCGGGGCCAGAAGGACTGTCCAAAGGCCAGAGGCTGTCTCTGCTCGGCCTTGGAACAAGGAAACCTTAGAAATGGCTTTGACAGACTTTCTATTTTTCCATTACCAGGCACTCGGCTGAGCAGGCCTCAGATTTTGTTTCTAATCCTCACAAAACCCTTGGGAGAGGTTACCTAAGCCTCCCTTTATAGACGGGAAACTTAGGTTCCAAAAGTTGAATAACTTTCTCTAGGAAAGTAGAAGGTCCAAAACCAGGTCTGTCTGACTCCGTAGTTCATGCCCTTTTCATCACCCTGCCCCTGGAGCAGAAATCAGAGCTGATAGAACACTGGGGATATTTCCTATCAACATAGCTCTGTGATAACATCACGGCCAACCACCTCCTCTCTGCCTGCAGCAGAGCCCAGTGGCTGAGAGCACAGAGCCTAGAGCCAGGTGCCTGCGAGTCCTGACTCCACCTCCGACTGGCACCCTGCTGCTTGGGCCAGGTATGTACGGTCTCAGGGGTGATGGTGAGGTTGTTGTAACTTGTAATATGAATTAATATTTGGAGATCACTGCCCAGGATCCAGGAATGGTGCATGTGCGTTTGTTAAATGAGGTGCCCCAATCTGCCTCGAGATTCTCCGGGCAGGACCTGTCTGTTGACTCTTCGCCCTCAAGAGCACAGTGGCACTATTTCTGAGAAACTGTGTTTGTTTGCATTCCTTGGAAACCATACTGAACCTCCCTTAATAAGAATATGAAGAACCCCAAGGACATTTGCAAGAGGCAGATAAGAGGTCCTGCCTTTTCAGTTTGCGTATCATAGTTTGCAAAATCCCTTCTAATCTCTGAATAGGAAGGGACCTGTCTTCTTTCATGTTGCTTTAAATGGCATCCGTGGATCTCAGCATCTCTCTCCCCTTCAAGACATCTCGCCATAGTGAATTTTTTTCTCCCAATCTCCTTTTGTCTTATAAAGTTGTTGGGTGTGCGGGGTCGCTGAAATCGCTTTAAGAGGCAGGTTACTGTTAATTCCGACAGGTGGCCAGCGTTAAGCCTGCCTTCATCTCCATCACTTAAGTAAATAAATACTGTGACCCAGGTCCTAAGTAGGGAGAAACAGAAGCTTGGAGGATTTGGGATTTGTCAGTTGCAGATAAAACACTTGCTGTGCCCAGAATCCTGCTCCCCTCCCCAAACCCTTATCCTGCAAGGAAATGCTGCTTCGACAGAGTCTACATCCATATACTATTTTGGTTTCCCAGTATCTTTTCATGCCCTATTCTCACTTCCCTAAAAGTTTTGGGCACATTTTGTTGAATTATTAAACTAGCGTGAGTTAAGTTGTACTCTGTTTTGAGAATTTGACTATGAGCTGAGGCATTTGGGAACACTGCTTAGTAGGGGGTAGAGGGCCCATGTGTTGAGGGTTCCAGGACTCGACAGTCTTTGCTTCTCTAACCCTAAATAAATGGGTGGTTTCACAAGCGGCTTCAGGCTATTTCTGCACGTCAGCTTCTTAGAGAAGTAGCAGGATCACTGCATGCATGCTCGCTCTTCCAGAAGTTCAACGCTACTATCTCTTCCTTTTGAAGATTTCACCTCTACCTCTCTGTCTCTATCCTGTCTTTCCACAGAAGAGAAAACCTCTGATTCAAAAGCCTTTCTGAGAAGCCTCCCTTTTTCCCAGTGCCCGTATGAAGTCAGCCTCTGCAGCTCATGAGAAGTTCAGAGAGGGTCAGTGGCACCACCGTGGTCACACAGCAAATCAAAGAGATAGCCCCACATTGGCATTGTTTATCATGAACTGCTTTTTCAGCTTGTCATTCAGAGATAATTGGATGGAGAGCTCAGTTTGGCCAGACATAATGTGATTTTATAGCAGAGACTAAGCCACTTGTCTGTGGCTTATTATTATCATTAAACCAAATTATTTAAAAGAAACCTTAGAATCTGACCTCTGAGTGTTCCTGTCCACCAGTCCATCTACAACAACTCTGATGGGCACCCAGCTCCTCCTCCTGAAAGAGAGATGGATGCATGGTTTCTGCCTTGTCTAACTCTGAACTTGGACAGCTCTTCGTCATGTGTTTTAACATGCATGTGTATATCCAGTCTGGAAGACACTGGGTGTCGTAAGAGCGCCCAGCGCTGGAATCAGGCATACTTGTTTGCAAATCTCAGTTATGCCATCTGGATACCTTGGAGGTGCTGCTTTGCTTCTCTCGGCCTCTGACTCCACGCCTATAGAATGGGAATAATTCCTACTTCACAATGGATGTCAGAGTTGATATGATAATATCAATAGGGTCCTGGGCCCACTGAGCTATTAAATAAATGGAAGGTTTTATTACATTGTCAATCATAGTATCTTTAAAAAAAAAAACAACAGCAAAAAGAAGCCTTTAGCTTATTTTTCTGTGTGAGTGAAAGTGAATTCCTCAAACTGGACTGAGTCAGGGTAATGGAGCTGCAAACTCAAGCCAAACATAAATTGAACTCTTTAAATTCCTCTCTCTCTCTCTCTCTCTCTCTCTCTCTCTCTCTCCCCTCTTTCTCTAAACTACCCGACAAAACATTTGTGGTGGGTTCTTCTCGACTCCTTCTCGCTTCCTTCCTGAATTAGGGATGCCTTACAAGACAAAGACCTTGAGGTAAGTGGCCTTTTAGATCTGAGAGCATCTATATCTGGGTAATGGTGAGAGTGAGAAATGCATTTCCATTAGGAAGCACAGCCACAGTGGTACTAAAAGCACGGGCAGACTAAACACATGGAGGCAGAGGGCCTGCGCCCATCAATCAGCTTTGATTTTTATGAAGCCACAGTTATCATGAGGTGCATCCGAATGCTCTCAGAGCCTGCTTACCAAGGGGAAGGGCCTGAGATTTCATAGCCCATTTCTGTCCTGACCTTAGTGGCTGACCTTGGCAATAGGTTGAGCTTTGCAGTAGAAGCTCCTGAAATAGCAAATGACTTGGAACCCAGTGCTCCATGCTTGGGCTCACTAACATGCCCTTTCACACACCAGCTATAATGCTTAGTTAACAACAATCTTAAAGGGACTAATACTTTCTAGAAGCCTTCCCTGAATTCCCCTGCCCATACCCAGAACAGCATCCTTTGATACGCTCCTCGCCCCTCCCCCACTGTCCTAGCACCTGCCGCCCCTCCCCGCCCACAATACTTCCACCTGCACCAGGTTCTGATTGCTGCTGTGTGCCTGGGCTCCCTGAAGTCAGAGCAGGGACCAGGTCTTCTGTCTCTGCACTCCCAGCACCTAGGTCTGAAGAAATGCTTTCTCAATGAGTTAATCAGCATTTGCCAGACAATAGCCAGGTGTGTGAGAAAGACAGGAGAAGTTAATCACAGATAAAAATCAACAAATATTTACTGAACACTATAAGCCCAGTGCTGTGCTAGTAAAAAGCTTTATTTGAAAGACCCAGGTTTTGCCAAGAAAGGTTTACATAATTTGGTGAAGAAAACAAGATATTAACATATGAGGCTAAATAGCAATTAGAAATTGAAATACTAGTTCAAAACAGCAATAAAAGAAAGTCAGGGTCTGTGATACACAGGTTTCTCCAGTTAGGTGAGTGGCCCTCATCGTGGGGAAGTGCGGGCTGGGGGTATAAGTCTCAGACAAGCACGGGCAGCTAACCTAGGAAATGGATCCGGAGTGACAATGATAACATCAGTCCATGCCGCCTCATTCCTGC